AGTTTTACGCAACCAACGAAGATGCTCAACTGCCAGCTCCTGACCGGATATGTCCTGGTAGATTTTATTTTCTTTTACTTTTGAAATCCACACCGTTCCTGTGAATGCTTATGTTAGCGCAAAAGGTGGAACAGTTTTATGTTTATTGACGTTGTGAGATTAGATGGAGATATTTCGTTGTAAAAAGAGCGAATTTCAGAGTCTCTAAGTCACTATTATACGTTAGGTATATGTTTTATGTAAATGAATTAGGATCCACTCAGATAGAATTTTCTCAATCTTATCTAACTCTGACTAAGCAACCTATGATTACACAACTTTATTCAAGCCTAATGTGTAACGAACCTGCAAATATGGATAGAAGTTGGTTTTCCGCGATAACCAGAAGATTGGCCGCTAGTATTATTTCGGTAATTATTTCCCATTGTACTGTTGCTTTTGCTCTCACCTTTAAACCTAACGGTGTTAATATTATTGCAGTTATAAGTACCGTTTAGGATGTAATTACGGAATTTGCGCCCAGCTCAAGGCTCATAAGTTGGTAGAATCCCATGAACAGAGTTTGAGGAACCTTTAGTTGTATAAGTATGACAGGTAGAATTTGACAGAGCGGTATGTGTGTACGAGAGTTTCAAATTATTATAACCAAGTATTAATTTGGTGTAACCATACTTATGGTCTCATTAGGTTTTCTCACAGGAAACAACAATATAATCGTGTTATATTTATTAATGTCAATGACGGCAATTCGATTGAATTCAATATTTGAAAGATTTGGCTTTAGATCTTGTAGAGAGGCTATTTTCACCTTCCCCCCGTTAATAGGTTTCTACGGATTACAAGGACGAGATCCATAATAAAGTTACAGAATTTGGTTCTAATGGAAAAAATGTCACAAACGCTCTCTGTCTGTAGATGCTGGCTCCATGGTCGCAGCTGTACGTGTTGCTTCTGGCAAGGATCCAATCGTTTTCGGGAAGCCTCACAAGGCGATGTTTGACTACCTTGTGGAGACTGCAGGCATATGCGCCGCAGACACTGCTATGGTCGGAGACCGGTAGGTGTACATTTGATTTTCCTTCAACACATTACTGTTAATGAAGATTAAAGTCAGATTACGATACAAAACATTTAGCATTCAGATTGTGATATAGGAAGGTAAGATAAAAAATCTTGAAGATTTAAAGGGGAATAATTCTTGAACTTTCACCGATTTGTCTGCAGATGTACCTGCCCTCCGTTCACTTTTTTCGTACGGGTACATGACAAACGTCCTCCCCTTTGTCTGTTAACCTGAATAATATTTCGCCGGTGCAACATATATTAGTTAATTTGCTTACCCTATCCCTAGTTTTGGACAATTCAGGAAAGATTTTTGAAATGCATTAAATTTTAAGGTCTTTGGATGCATTACTAACTCAAACAGACCTGATTAAGGTGTACTATGCGCTTAATTTCTCAGTAAATGAACGGAACAAAAGGCTTTAATCCAACAGCTCGCAGCATATAACCTCATTCGGCTACCGGTCCCCTCTAACGCTGACCGGGATTTTGACTCCGATTACCCCCCCCCCTCCCAACCTCCCCTGACTGCCGTACTATTTTTCTACCAACCCACGTCGTTTATTTAGTGAATAACGATATAAATATACAGGTCTGACGAGAATTTATCGAAAAAAATGTATGTTCGCAACTCTAGCTTCTGAAATTTTTAGTGCAAATTTGAACGGAACTCATCAAGCAGGTTGCCACATGCAAATGCTGCGGCGGCTTGGCTGCCTAAGCGTACAAAGCCACTTCAAGTATATTCATAGTATTCCAGTGTTACCATTTTCACTCAGCAGTGATGACACGACTGCCAGTGCCTCAATGATCTGAATTTCGTGGAGTTTTAACAAGAATAAAGCATTTTCTTAAAATAGTTTCCACTTCCTTTTATTTAATTTTACATGCAACTTGTGATTAATATATAGCTTGTAAGACTTACATCGGAACAAGCATCTGTTTACACATTCTTTTATATACTGAACATGCCAAAAAGTAAGTTAGTCGAGGTTAACTGCGCAAACAAATAATTGTATATTAATCCCCAATACAGTTAGCGTGTGAATGATGTTACTTTGATTTGCGTATGCTAAAAGCGTTAATATTAAGGATATAAAAGAGCGCAAGTTGGCCTAAGGAACTTTTTAGAAGTAGAAAACCATTACAGAACTAACATTATTTGCACTTTCAACTATCAGAATCGAAGAAGTCGTGATTTCCATTGAATGGGCAATAGGTAATAATCCAGTTATTTCCGGAAGTATAGTCAGTTATTATTGTCGGTCCTGATCAAGGCACAGAACTATGAATTCCCTACTTCAAAGGCTTAGTCCTAATTTACAGGGAGATTAGCGTTAGTGTGCATGTTAGGGCCAATACTGATTTTTTGATTAAGGTTAGCGACAGGGTTTAGTTTAGGGTTCAGGTTATTGTTGGGGTTAGGACATGGGACACGTCGGAAGGTCACCAGCTATCGCGTAATGTTAAGGCTATTAAGGTTAACCCTACCGGCTGCGATCTTCCAGGCCCGGTTCCTTAGGAGATGAGAGAAGTCTTGGGAAGGCCAGAGTAATAGGAAGCATATATTCCTTACAGAATAAATTGGAGGAGGCAGGGGGAAATTGCCTACCAGACGAT